CTCTACACCAAGAAACACACTGTCGATAAATTAGAAAGGAAAATTATGAAAAATATAATAATTGACTTTTTAAAGACTACATATATAAAATCAATAAAAGATACAATTCTTTATTTATTTATAATCTATAAAATAGAGCATAATCAATCACAAACTTTAATTTTCTTTTTAATAATATTGACTATTTAAAAGAATATGACATATTGATCCATTACATGTCTTAGAAGTAACAAAAATGCGAAAAATCTCACACTTAATCTTAGTACCGAGGCCAACAACCGTTTGTGGTTATCTTAGAATTTGAAGGAAGCATCCATAGTCATCTTCACATATGATTTTGGTTTATTATTGTTTTGTTGCTAACAAAGACCAGATAGACGTGGAGATTAAACTTGAATGAAAGCCAAAAGTAAAAAGAGAAAAATATTAAAATATTTTAAACACTAATGAAATCTTAACAATCACCATTTTGAAAGAGAGAGAAGTGTAAAGAATATTTATTCTGATAGAGATGAAGATGTTTCTTATGTAAGCTTCTTTTTTTTTTAATAATAAATTCTTGCTAATTAGTTATGTAACGCCCTGAAAATATTAATGAAACCATCTCACAACAATTACCCATTGACAATACATTCAAAATAAGATCTCTCTTTACATTCATATGAGTCAATGATTACAAAAGATAACACATGCAACTATACATTCACAAACCCTAACCATGAATCTACATGTGTCAATAGCAAGAGATATGAAATTAAAGTAAGAATAGATAAATTAATGCCCTGATGGTTACAACTTTCCAAGACGGTGCTTGGTTACAACAAAAGTGAGTTTAAACTCAATACAAATAAGGCTCTAGACTTGTACAAAATAATTACAACAGTTAACAAAAATAGAACTCTCCCATGCTATGGCCTTGGCGGAGGTATATCATCAGCACCAGAAAATGATTTTCTACATAGAGTGAGTCAAAACCCAATAAAGATACTCTAACATAGTGTATGAATTTTAATAGAGTTATAAGGTGAATGCATATGCAATGCTCGTATCAAAACATTTTACTTCTTTTTCCAAATCTATGTAAAGCCAAGTTTATATCACAATTCACGCAACAATTTCCTTTAGAATAGAAAACAGGGCGATGGATACAATACTGGGAATTTCTAGGACGTGTCTGCAAATAGGCTACAAGCATTACCAATTTGTCATTTTTACCGATATTAACTAGAAGGCTTGACACCTAACCACGTGAATTTTTGGACTTTCACCAAAAACACACAGGCCAACATAATATCACAACTAGACTGCTATCCAAATTCACTAAGGTATTCACCAATTTTTCTCAAAGCAACAACATTTTCAATGTGTTAATTATGTTACAATGATCAATGCAAATGAATGAGAAAATAGTTTTAATTCACCTAATTCTCATGCAATTCCTACAACAATCATAGCTATCCTCCACCGATAGCCAAAAATAGATATCTCTAAACAGATAATTAATTTCCAACACAAATATACTTTCCAATATTTTCAAATAGAAGTGATATTTCATATCCAACTCCACCATCATTATCATCATCATCATCATCATTGTTTCAATTCCATAAAACTAACATTAATTTCTATTTTCTCTTTACAAAATCAAATTCTCACAATTTAGGGCAAAACCCCCATTTCTTTAAAAATCAATTTCCATGGATAAAATCCACTATCTATCACAACCCAACCCTTTTTACAAAGCCACAATCATATACCAAAACCCATTACGAAAATCCCTCTTTTGATTTCAAAGCCAAAACCCTAGGTTTTATTCAAAAATTTCCAAATCTCTAACTTGTTTAGGAAAACAAATAACTAAATTAAAAATCATAAAAAGAGTCAAAGTAATCCCTACCTCAAAGAAGAAGACTCAATGAAAGATGGGTAGAACTCGACCGAGGCGAAAACACGAACTTCTCCGATTAGAACGAACTCTTTTTAACAAAGAGACTAGTGTGATGAAATCACTAGATCAAGGTGTATTTGTGCCAAATGTTCAAGAACTAGAGAGAGAGAGAGAGAGAGAGAGAGAGAGAGACGTAAAAAAGTGATCCGAAAAGTGAACCTTACGACTTGATGTATGCGTAGACTGCTCGAGCGAACAAAGTGACCGCTCGAGCAAAGAATACCAGCTCCTAGTACTTTTGCAGACCTGCAAAAGTATTGAGGGTTCACAAAAATCGCTCGAGCGACGAAAAGATCGTTCGAGCAAAGAGGCCAAAATCGGGACAAACTTTCCTTTGAAAAACAAGTTACCAACCTGTCTCTAAATACGATGATAACACTCCAATAGCCAAACTCAATAAAGTACAAGATGAATAAAGATATGAACAGTGATACAAGACAAGATATCCCGAATCCAAGACAAATAACGGGTCGGTTCTAAACCGGAATCGTTATAAGCTAGGTAAAATATATAGTATATTTTTATTATGGAAAATAATTCCTTAAATTGTGTGTATTTTGAAATTTAAATCCCTAAATAATATGTCAATGTAGACACCCCATTTTTGACCGACCTTAAGACTCAGATGTCACCGATTAAGCGCTTGGTGATATTGCATAATGTGCTCGTTCAGAAGTTTCAGAGTTGTGGCCGCAAGCCCTACCTCCGGACTTCCGAACCCTCTTTTGTACTTTGCCTCGGTTTGCGAACCAGGCTCGGTTTTCTTTGTTTCTTTTCCTGAGGAGAGGGAGAGGTCCAGTAGACCATCTCTCAATGTCCGTAGGCTACATTTGGTGGCCGTAGGCCATTTTTCCCATTTTGGAGTCCGGTTTCCGGTTTTCGGAGCCGTCAAGCCGTGTGCCTCGGTTCGGGACCGCTTAACCATCTCCTATTGCTCTAATTTTTGGCATACTTCCTATTTGCTCAATTCTTTGTTGACTATAATTTTAAACTAGCAGTTGACCTGTATAGTGCATGAGTTTTTTTAAAAACATATTTGATGGTAGAATGTGTGTTATGAAAGAATAGTTTTAATTTTAATTTAAAATGAAAATTAAAGTATGATTTTAATTATTTATTTCGATAATATTGGCGCTATTATTCTATAAAATTGTTACTTAAATACTTATTTTAATTAAATTATTTGTGTATTTTTGATAATTTTAGTTTTATCGTATTATAAAAGTGTAACTATCATATAACAATTTGTATGATATATATTAAATTATAAAATAGTAAAATAAATACTCATTTTGATATTAAAAATAGTAGTTAAATTAGAAGAAGAATTAGTAATATAAAATTAAAAGTAATTCTAACTATTTAATTTTCTTTTATATTTATTTAGAAAATAAAAATATGTAGAAATAGAAATTATATAAAATTTATTAAAAAAATTAAATATAAATATGTTGTAGTTGGATTATCATATAATGATTTTATATGATATATATGTACATAATTAAATTATAAGATTGCAAAATAAACATTCTTAATTAAATTAAAATATTAATTATATAAAAAAAATTCAACAGTGACTAAGTAGGGAAAAATCACATAATAACATCTAAACCAAATAAATAAATAAATAATGAAAACATCCAAATGATAGATATATCTCAGTTTGTGAAGTAACTAATCATCTGTAATATGATGTCAAAATAAAAAATAACTTATTGTTTAACAATTGAAAAAGTAATTTAAGCAAGAAATTCAAATTTTAGAAATTTCTTGAGAGTATCATTATTGTGTAGGTTTTTCCTTCTGTGAATTGTGATTATATAAAATAATGTAAAAAATGGAGCATAATTTCATATATAGAATTACTATAAAATTTAAACGGCAAATTCATGATATAAAATTATTGGGTATAGAATAATACACGGAAAAAAAAGACAATATAGCATTAAAAAAATTCTAATACCCTTGAAAGAATTAAGAAGAAAAATGTGAAACGCAAAATTAATATTAGGTTAGTGGATTATCTCAATTTACGATGAAAAATATATAGAAAATAAATATTTATCAAATAGAATTCATATAAAATAAGTAAAATAATATAATTTAAATTAGGTTTGGATTTATGTAAAACTCTATATGTAATTAAGAAAATACATACTGACATGACTCTCTTAAAAAAAAAAAAGTCTTTATAATGTACCACATAAGCATGAGGAATTTTTTTTTTAATAATATATATATATGATTTTAAACCTTAAATTCTAATTTTTAGTAGCCAAATATATTTTTTTCTTTTTAAAAATAATCAAAAATCAACATTAAATTCTAATTTTTAGTAGCCAAATATATTTTTTTCTTTTTAAAAATAATCAAAAATCAACATAATTGGATTGGAGTTTTAGAACTCTTAGAGCTCTTATAGTTAGAAGGCTCATGTCTAATAGATATTATCATATTATGAAACCTAATCACCTTGCTTGTTTTCACTTTTCAAAAAATACTTTTCAGAAAATTTTAATTTCTCATTTTTCGTGTTTTTTTGTTTTTACTGAATTTTTTTAATATTTTAAACAATTTTTTTTTACTTTTTAGACACACCTAACATAAATACACTTAAAAAATAAAAAAATTATAAAAAAATCTAAATACCAAAAATATAAAAAAAAATATAAGAATTCAGTACATTTTTTATATTTTTATGTATTTATTAATTTTTTGAAATATTTTTTCACAAATTTTTTATTTTTTAGATACATCTAAGTAAGGTGCATCTAAAAAAGAAAAAAAATGTGACATGTGTATTTTTATAATTTATAAATTCAATAATTTGAGAAAATTATATTAAATTATATAATTTATCATAAATATTAATGATTAAAATTAATTTTTTTTATAAATCCGTAATTATTTTTTAAAAAATACATTATAAAGTATTGTTTTATATTGTAATTACAAAAAAGACTCTCTTAACACGCAGTAGCAGAGTGCAGTGGTGTCCCGGCTTAACAGTACAGAGTTTCTTCTAATACAGTATTTTATAAACAGCTAACACACTCTCTCTCTCTCTCTCTCTCTCTCTCCTAAAAGACACACATTTCTAGAGATAGAAGAGCTAACAATCTTGATGCAGATTTTAAAAGCGGTCTCTCTAGAGAGATAGAAGAGAGAACATGAACAGAACACACATCTATTCTATTGCCTATTGAACTGAAGAGAGAGAAACTTTTTCCACATCTACACTTTCTTTCTCTCACTATATTCACATATGTTTCTGTGTATCGCTGATTCGAAACCCTAGAGATTGTGTGTGTGTGACGAGAAGGTTTTGGTGTTTGATGTGAGATATTGTGGTAGATCCGAGATGGAGGAAGTTTCCGGCGACGGCGGATGGACAGCGGATATGAGTTACGGCGGCAATGTACGGTTGACGGCGGAGCCTGCGACGCCGTTGATGGCGTCAGGATCATCTTTCAAGGAAGGGGGGAAGAGTTCGAGGAGGCGAGCTCCGCAGCGGCAGCCGAGTATGGACGCGGATGAGTTCATAAATTTGCTGCACGGCTCGGATCCGGTGAAGGTGGAGCTCAATCGGTTGGAGAATGAAGTCAGGGGTGAGAATGCGAGTTGATCTGGTTGTTTTTTTATTTGATTTGGTGTTTGTCGATTTGGTTGTTGATTTGATTTTCGTTTCTGCAGATAAGGATCGAGAATTGGGGGAAGCCAATGCGGAGATCAAGGCATTGAGGTTGTCAGAACGCCTTAGAGAGAAGGCAGTTGAAGAGGTTCTCTCTCTCTCTCTCTCTCTCTCTCTCTTCTATGGAATTCGAATTGCCATTTTATATATATATTTTTAATATAAATAAATGCTAGTCTCAATTCATTTGGTCAACTCTATGTAACTTACAATTAGTCAGATTTGTGTTGTATGCTTATGCTCTTTACTTTGAATTTTTATGAATTAGCTAACTGGTGTTAAGCTAATGAAGTTCTCAATATGTACTTTTAAATTTGTGGACCATTTTGGGAGTTGTCAGTGTCTATTAATCTGAAACTTCTCTTAAACTTCCATTTGTGTTGTCCTGTTTTCCCATTAGGTATTAGGCTGTATACTCAAGCTGGTTTCTTTCTGTTTTAGATAATTTATCATTGCAGCTGATTCAAGCATCAGATTCTTATCGATTATAGTTCATCATCCTAGCTGATTCTATTATTACTTGTACTCAGTTGATGCTTGTGAGTCTCATTAGCTAAGAAGCACCAATACGGACATGTTATATGGCACTGGCACGGTTGCGACAACAAGGAAATTTTAAAAAACATAGGACATGAGGCATGAGAGACAAATGCAAAATGTATAGATTTATATATTTATTATCTGTGATATATAAGGATGAACAATTGTTATATGTATAGTGAAGTATATATATTATCTGTGAATTTCAACTTATTTTATTCAAATCTGTAATGCGTTTCATGTATGTCTAAGTGATACTCGTGTTTCCTAGTGATACAAATGTGTTTCCCATGTGTTTGAAGCATATTGGGTCTATGAAGTTTTGAACTGTAGTAAGAGATGTTTGGATGTGTGTCCAACAAATGTCAAGAAATGTCCAATGATTGTTGTGTCGGTGTCCGACACGACATGGCCCTACTTAGAAGTGTTCGTGCTTAGCCCATTTGCCTATGTTTCCCCAATTTGATTTTCAAAGCAATAATATATCTGAAGTTATTTCTATTGACATGGAAAATCCAGCATGCCTTAATGTTTTATAAAAGAGTTTGGGTTATTTATCATCAAAAAAGGGTTGAGTTTGCATGGGGGAAGAGGGACTTTAACATATAATAATTCCATATTTATAATGAAATATAAGCTTGTTTGGTTTGTGAATTTTGAATTCACTTTTTAGAAAATTAAAACTTTTGTTTTCCATATTTTTTTTTTCACTGAATTTTTTTTTTAATATTTTAAGCATTTTGTTTTTAAATTTTTAGATACACCTAACATAAATACACTTAAAAAGTATAATATTTGTGAATTTTTTTTTAAAAAAAATTCACTAAATACCAAAAATACAAACAAACAAACAAACAAACAAAAAAACAAAAATTCAGTACATTTTTTGTATTATTGTGTATTTGTTGATTTTTTAAAGATATTTTACGTTTTAGATACAATTAAGCTATGTTGCGCGGACTCTTCAAAATAAATCAAATACCCGTGTCAGATAACTGACGCTTGGACAAGGGTATGGGATATGTGTCCGATACTTTTCAACAAATACTTCTTATATAATTGTATATAAGACTACTATTATATGGATATATTATTGTATAATTGCTATAAATATCATTTTGACACTGTAAGTTATATATAGTACCATTTTATCTCACATACTAGATTAAAAATATAAAAATATGACATTTTTTTCCTGAGTCCTTGTACCCTTAAATTTATGATTTGATAAGTCCGACCTCTCGATACATACCCATACCCGACAACCGTACCCGAGTCCATGTAACATAGCATCTAAGTAAGATGCATCTAAAAAAGTAAAAAAAATTGCTTAAAATTTTAAAAATATTCACAAAAAATAAAAAAAACACGAAAAACAAAAAAACTCAATTTTTAGAAAATTGAATTTAGAAAATTGAGACCAAACACAGTGGTTTCCTATCTAGACTAGCTCAATACTTCGTTAATTTAAAATTTAGGTAGGATGTTTGTTTTTTTTTTTTTTGTCCTTTATTTTATTTTAAAAAACCAGCATTTATTTCTTTAACTTGTAATTCCTCTGAAGCCAGTGTATTTTCTTCAGTAATTTTTATGAATCTTTAATTATTTATTACTCGTTGCATACTTTATGCATATGCTATCGTGTGCTTTTTAGGTCAATCCTTAGGTGCTTTGCCTGTTTTATTGAGATTAGCTGTCCAGTTCTCTGTATTAGAGGGGAAAAAATTTACATTAGGATTGGATTTAAAATTTCCATGGAATCTTTTGGCTGTAAGGATTCTAAAGTCAGCCATGCTGACATTGGTGTGTATCCCTGATGTTGTATGATTTGGGTAATTTTGGCCTGTGTTACATGGACTCTTCTATTTCCCCCACAATACCCGTGTCCACCGGATATGACATGGATAAGGGTGTGGGATATGTGTCCGACGCTCGTACCCAATTTAGACACTCAGATCCTTTAATTTGTGACAATACATGAAGAAAAAGAAACTTGCATTTGTTAGTAAAACAATATTTTTAGGCTCCCACATGAATTAGATATAGAAATTTCATATTTTTTTCTAATATATTTCTACATAATTTAAATCATCTCATCCGAGAATATTATATAATATACAATATATATGTGCATATGACGTGTCCCCGTATCCATATCCAATTTTGGATACATACCCCAAGATCCTAAGATTTAAATTTATGAAGGTCTGACGCTTGGATACACACCCGCACCCGACACTCGTACCCGAGTCCATGTAACATAGATTTTGGCAGCTTGGTGTTTAATATTGCTTCTTGGACATGTTTAGGCACAGTTTCTGTATATGTACACATGTACTGCTTATTGTTTAACTGTATTGATTGCCAATACTCTGCACAAGTGGTTATGGGATTCTGCAAGAACCTTTAAGAAGATATATCCCAAAGCAGTTAAAAGTCACGCATATGTGTGTGTTTTGACCAGTTATTCCGAAATGTAATACTACAAAATTTGATGTGGGTTGTTGCTGTGTTGCAGGGCCCTTTCTTTTCTATATGTTATTCTTGTTATTTCAGACAATGTTTCCACAGTAATATATTGTAACTGGAAGGAAACTTGACATTGTTTTCTCTGGTTTTCCACATTGTAGCTTACTGAAGAATTGGCCAGGGTGGAGGAGAAACTCAAGTTGACAGAGTCTCTTCTAGAAAGCAAAGTATGGCGTGCAACTCTTTTCAGCTTTAATGTATTTTTGTTATCCTTTGTTTAAGTGCTATATTTATTGAGAGATTTCCTTTTTGCAGAATCTTGAGATAAAGAAAATCAACGATGAGAAGAAGGCCTCTATGGCAGCTCAATTTGCAGCAGAAGCCACTCTTCGAAGGGTTCATGCTGCTCAAAAAGATGATGATATGCCTCCAATTGAAGCCATCCTTGCACCTCTGGAGGCTGAACTTAAGATTGCTCGACAGGAGGTATTTAATGTTTTTGATCCCTAAACTTCCTTTGAGCTCTTGTTTGAGTTCTTCCATGATGACCAAAATAAAATGCCTTTTGCTCCTAGAGGCTCTCTAGCATTTCCTCTCTTGATTTTTGGAATAGGGAGCCATTGATTTTTTGTTCAAGTTTGATTTTTTATTTCATAGAAGAATGGTAATTAAAAGGAGTGTCAGCTCTTGGAGGGTGTTTCTGTCACAGAATATGAAAATAATTTACAGTTTTTTTTGTTGATTGGATGTAATTGTTCCTTTTCAGATTGCGAAGCTGCAGGATGACAACAAGGCATTAGATCGCCTCACCAAGTCAAAAGAAGCTGCTTTACTTGATGCTGAGAGGACTGTTCAGATTGCATTGGCAAAGGCTTCCATGGTGGATGATCTCCAGAATAAGAACCAAGAATTGATGAAGCAGATAGAAATTTGCCAGGTATGGTGGTCATCGAGGCTGATTTTGTTTGTAAGATCATCAAATCTTTGGGCATGTATTTTGATGATTAGTGTGTTGAATCAACATGGATTTGTGTCTAATGGCATTTATATATCAGGAAGAAAATAAAATTTTGGATAAAATGCACCGCCAAAAGGTTGCTGAGGTTGAGAAGCTTACCCAAACTGTACGTGAGCTTGAAGAGGCTGTCCTTGCTGGTGGTGCAGCAGCAAATGCTGTGAGGGATTACCAACGCAAAGTTCAAGAGATGAATGTAATCTGAAACATATTAAACCTTTGGGTTTCGATTCAATACTTGCCTATGAACGTTCTTCCAGTGGAGATATAAATGATGCTCAAAATTGGATGTATTTGGTCATGTGTTTTTCAGGAGGAGAGAAAAACTCTTGACAGGGAGCTGGCACGTGCAAAAGTGACAGCTAACAGGGTGGCAACAGTAGTAGCTAATGAATGGAAAGATTCTAATGACAAAGTGATGCCGGTGAAGCAATGGCTTGAAGAAAGAAGGTTTTTGCAGGTGTATTGTGGTTTCTAATCAATTGTTATTTAGGACTATTTAAATTTTGACATGTCGTTTCATGTGATAAATACATATAAATTTTTTGGGTAAAAATACTTATAAATTTAGCTTCTCTGGTTTTAATAGTTACTAACCAAAATTTGCTGTGATAGGGAGAGATGCAGCAACTCCGGGACAAGCTTACTATAACTGAAAGAGCTGCAAAATCTGAAGCTCAGTTGAAAGTAAAAATCTGAGTTCACCATGATGTAGCTAGCTACTACGTGTTTAACATATTTCGTAGCCTGGTTTTGAATTGAGCTCTTGTTGCACTTTCTAGGAAAAATACCAACTGAGACTCAAAGTACTTGAAGAGAACCTGAGATTGTCAAACAGTAGCAATCGCAGCACTCCAGAGGGAAAAAGCGTGAGCAATGGCCTTTCGCGTCGCCAATCTTTGGGTGGAGCTGATAACATCTCCAAATTGACCTGCAATGGTTTTTTACCAAAGAGATCTCCATCCTTTCAGTTGAGGTCTTCTGGTACCAGTTCGGTATTGAAGCATGCAAAAGGGACATCAAAGTCATTTGATGGCGGCACTCGGTCATTAGATAGGGGTAAAATTCTCTTAAATGGAACAGGTCCAAATTTTAATCTAAGCCAATCTTGCGAAGGCACAAAGGAAGCTGAAGTCAATAGTAATACCTGGAAAGGAAATCCAGAAGAAAAACCCAATGACTTCCTGCCAATGGATACAGAGGATACTGTTCCCGGGCTTTTGCATGATTTGCTGCAAAAAGAAGTGATTGCCTTGAGGAAAGCTGGTCATGAAAAAGATCAAAGCCTTAAAGACAAGGATGATGCAATAGAGGTTGATTTCTTGTCATACTCAATTTATGATTCTGCTTTGTATACTTTTGGTTAAATTTTGGGTTGTGATTCTTATTTCTCAGATGTTGGCAAAGAAGGTTGATACTCTAACCAAGGCGATGGAGGTTGAGGCCAAGAAGATGAGAAGGGAGGTTGCCGCCATGGAGAAGGAGGTAGCTGCCATGCGTGTGGACAAAGAACATGAAAACAGGGCCAAGCGGTTTGGGAATTCTAAGGGTCCTGTGAACAATTCACAGCTGCTCCCTGGAAGGTATGTGTCTCATCTTATTCCCACATGTACGTCTGCAGAATTATTAATAGAATATAGCACAATTGTATTGCAATTACATGTTGTCTCCTTTTGATTATTGAGGATAGCAGCTTTCTTGTAATTCGATATGTTCTCCCTGCTTTTAACATTCATTATTATTTCTAGGGCATATTAACTACTTAGCCAGAAAATAAAAGTGCTTTTAACATCCTGGAAGTTGTAATGTTTATAATTGTAAGACATTTTACTTATATCTGATTATCTAAGGTGCACCCCAGGCACATATGAGGCATTTTGATTCTCAGGAAAAAAAAAATGCTTTTTGTTTGAAGTTACAAGTAAGGTGCATTTGGCATCTTCGTTTAATTATTTCTTGTAAGGGAAGAAAAGAAGAAAAAGAAATAGAGATTTCTTCCTTTACCATTCATAAGTTTCTAAGTTAAAATTTTGCCTCTAATGTAGGGTGGAAAAAAGATTAAATAATGCTTGAATGGAGCAAACCGTGCTTGTGTTTTTGACTTGCTACAAGGACCTTTCTTAGTGAGTTTTGTCAATTGGCAAAATAGAAACTCCCAATAGGACTTGCACTGCCTTGTTGCTAACATTACATTAATATTTGACGAGCAGTTTTTGGCAGTGTGAGTTAAAATGCAGACTCCCATGCAATTTGAAAAGTGAACTATTAATAAATTACCGTAAGATTATTTAATTAGCAGGAGTTGCTTTATGGGGATAGGCACACATTTTTATATTTGTGATAACTTTGGTCTCATTTCGTTTTCAGATATACTACATAAGGAGTAATATAATTTGTTTTTGATTGTGGACAATACCGTGTGTGACATAGAGAGTAACTGAGTTGGAAGTCATCGTAGAAAAGAGCTTTTGACTGTTTCCCTTTCTGTATTCCTAACCTTAGCTATTAACTTAGGTAGTTGATGCTGAGATGATTGCATTAGAGCTGTAGCAGTATCATGTAAGATAATTATTACATGATTGCTAAACTTCTTCTTTTTTGGTTGTGTAAATGTTAGTATATCACTGAGTAGCAGGAAACTCCTACTTGAGTGATGTTTCTTACTCAGACACGCAATTCCAACTGAGATAGGACCCCTCAAACATACAAATCTCAAAAAAACAAAAGAATAACAACTCAAACTTATTCTAGTACTTTCTATTTACATAATATTTATTTAAATTTAACAAAGACAATTTGTAGTGACCTCAATCTCCACTGATAATTCATATTGTAACACATTATAACTAAGCCAAAAAAAAAAAATGTTAGAATTAGAATATATTTATATATGTATTTTATAAAATATATACACGCTCCCATAGACACTACCAACCTTAAAAACTTCTATATGCTCTAGATCCCTCGCACCCTGCTGTCGTCCCCACCACCGCTTTGTGCAACCAAGGTATATCATTTAGAAACAAAATCAACATAATATTTGTCATGAATCATGATATTGCCGTACTTTATAGGAGTTGCATTTTGGCATATAATCAAGGAAGCACGGGTGCGGGTACGAGTACGGTACGGGTACGAGTGCGGGTACGCCGATTCGGCAAAACTCAAAAAAAGTATGATACGGGTACGGCTACGGTACGCTGATATTTTTTTATTTTTTTTAAAATATAATTTTGATTAAAGGATCCAACCTACAAATTAAAATTAAATATCAAAACTAAAAAAAAAACTACTCATTTTCCTATAATTTAAAACCATTAAGCGTTAAAAATAATATTTGTGAAATCTCTCACTTTGATATGTTATGCACTGTGAATTTGTGATCATAATTTATTTTTAAAATCTTTCTTTTTGCTCATCAATTTGCTATTTTTATAGGGTGAGACCAAAGAAATAAACAGGAGACCAAAGAAAGATTTAAAGTTAATTACCAACAATAAAGGAAAAAAATTCTCAATTGGTGCAGGTTGTCAATTGCAATTTGCATAATATATAAAATTGCATCATTCCCAACAACTACTAATCAACTAATACAGTATCAATTTTTAATGTTTTGTGCATAAACTTTAAAAGTTTGTTATGATTAAAGATTTTATAAAGAAATTCTAGGAGGATCTAAAGCAAAAGCATAATGCATAGTCATACACAGAACTACCCTTTATAGGCCTTGTTATTTTTTTTGGTTCAAATTGCTTTTTAAAAACATTAAAATCATTTGTTGATATACTTCTACAATTTATACAGACAAACAGGACAACAGAGAAACATCAAAATTACTGATCTGCAAGGGCACCAAAAAAAATAAATAATAATAATAATTAATTGCTAATTTGCAAGGGCAAAAAAAAAAAAAAAAAAAATTGGCCTTGGCGTACCCACGCCGTACCCGTGGCGTACCCATGCCGTACCCGAATAAGCCAAACGTACCGGACCCTCTTTTGCCGTACCCGGTACGCGTACCGCCGTACCGGTACGCGTACCCGCACCCGGTAAGTACCCGGTACTCGTACGGCACTATTTTTGGAGTACCCGTGCTTCATAGCATATAATCCTCATGGGATATTTCTTTTTTGTGATTGTATTGGTGCTATTTTAATGCCCATATCAAGTCATGCAAGGTGTATAGAAGGTTTCCCTCATAGATTTATGGATAATGAAAATTTTAGAGAAAGCTCTATGAAACAACTGACCGAGTCTATTTTGCTGCATATACAAACAATATAGGCCTTGTTTGGTGCAGCTTATTGTAAGTTAAAAGTTAATAATTAGACAGCAGAAGCTACAAGCACCACTTCCCTAGCTTCTAGAGAATCAATTTTTTCAGCTTATTTAAGTTATTTATGCCTAATAAGTTGTAAGTTGAAGTTGTACCAAACAGTCTGATACAAACTCTCAAAGTATAATAAGCTATAACCAGGTCATTTAAGCCGTAACCATGGTTGTTAGATTGTATGATTCACGATTCAATTCATATGATTTGATACGAATTTCAACAAAACTATTTGAATCATGTTGTTGAATTAGAATTGAGTGAATCGTATGATTCATCTTTACGATTCGCTACGATTCATTGTGATTCACAGGATTCACTGCGATTAAGTTTTATTTCTATTTTCGTTTGCATAATGCATGAAACATCATCGTTTTCACCAAACTATGAAGATATATAGAAGAATTAATTAATTATATTGATATACGTGATTTTATATGGATATACATATATACAATTTAGTCATATTGATAATTTATTTTATTTTAAACACTGTATTTTTATATGTATATAAATATAAAAAATTATATATCATATTAAATAAAAATGAATCTTACGATTCACGATTCGATATGAATCACAATTAACTATTTTAGCAAAATGATTAACGATTCAATTCTTGATTTGACCACATTGGTTGTAACAAACACCCCCATAAGAAGGTAAACAAAAAAAAAATTGAATCGAGCATGATTGTTGAAATTCATTTTGAACATTTTTGCCCACTTAAGAAGCACGATTGCGGACATGCAACATGGACATGTTAACATGACAATATTCAAAAAATGCAAGACATGACACGTGGGTACATATGTGAAATATTTTGTTTTATATACTTATTATATGTCATGTATATGCATATGTCATTCAAAAATAATAAAGAAAAGCAATATAAAATTGATTCTTATAAATTTACACTTTTTTTGTCTTTTCTAATTGTATTCTCCGCTTTTTGTTCAAACTTATAATCATGGTTATCAAAATCACAATATGGAGATCCTAAACTACCAAAACAACCCAACTTGTTGTAAAATTGGTGTTATAGTAGGAATGGAAAATCATGTGAGATCGTAGGTAGGTAGGCTCACTGTGTTTGTGATTTTTCATCTTAATTTTAATATGCATCATCCTTATTTTCATTTTTACCTTATTTTTAATATAAAGTAAGAATCTTATGATCCTTGATCCGATCCACTGGACCCTCTCACTGTTTCTGCATAGGATCCTGATTTTAACAATCATACTTATAATTAGTTTCATGTGTCTAAGCAATGGACATATGTGTCCTCTAAATGTCCGAAGCGTGTTTGGGGCTAAAGAATTTAAGAAAGTGATAGGACACATTTGAATGAGTGTCCAACACGTATTGGGAAACGTCCAACGAATGTCAGTGTCCAACAAGGGCACGACATGAACACACTACCTTCATAGAAGTGTTGTGCTTTATAGGTACCCACTATGATAATTCTTTCGGGGGCTATCCTGGACAGCTATGAGCATCAACTGAATGTGCTCAAGCTGCTGAACACACTGTCTTGTTCTTGCTTAAGCTGTCATGAACCTCTTTAAAACAAAAACAAAAAAAAGTTGTCGTGTACAAAGCATGCAAGCCATTAAAGTGTTCATGCTACATGTGCTCAAAATATCTTAATCAAAGAAGTCATAGTTATCTTTGTGACAAAAAGTGAACTTGTTTTAAAATTCTCGCACATGCACAGAGAGTCCATTTTACATGGGGCAATGGTGGGAAGGAAAAGGCTTGAGATGGAGAGCATTCTCATGTTTGTTAGTGAAGAAGGGGTGAGAACCTAAGAGAAAGTAAAGCTGGGAACGCTTGCCATTTTCTTTCTACCCAAAAGAACATGGATGCAGAAGGTGTTGTACATGAGTTAAATAAAAGAAATAGATTCATGATAAATTAAACTGGAAAAACAACAGAACAAGAATTCATGGGAAATTACATCTTGATGAATAGATAAACATATAACCAATTAAAATACTGAAATGAGAAAAGAAAGCAAACTGAAGCCTGTGTGATACTACGGTCTCCTTAAAACAGATTCGTCGTCTCACCGTGCTGGAGGTATGTCGGTGTCTGTCTCCCAGGATACGACGGTTTAGAACCTACTAAGCAGCTTAGCTCCGACAAATTGATAATGGCAGCACTCTCTCACACAGGAAGAATATATTGTAGGAGCAGACTAACTATAATATGAAAGCAAAAATTTCTATATTTCAACCAAAGAGGATGGTCTCCTTTTATACACAATGGGAAAAAGAGGAGGAGAGAACTTGGCTTATTTTTGTGATCATATTCACAATGTTGAGCATGCCTTTATATGGGCATCTTTGGCAAGACATATGGCAAGGCCATGTGTACCTCATGGCTTCCAAAACCACGTGTCCCTCGTGGTTAGGTCATGTGTCCCTCATGGTCTAAGACAACATTAAGGCCATGTGTCTCTCATGGTCTAAGACTATTAAGGCCATGTGTCCCTTATGGTTAGGCCATGTGTCTCTCATGGTTAGACCATGTATAAAATGCTCAATCAACATTCTCAATCTCTTATTCATGAGGCCAACTTTATGAGACAATTTTCATTCTGTTCTCAAACCAAAAAATCATTTTTTCCAAACAAAAGGCAGGGAATAAGCTTTTTTCCTCCCCTCCCCTTGAAATAACATCCTTTGCTATTATGGCACAATGTTTAAATGAAACCTCAACCGTTGGCCTCTCTTTCTAATTTCTTCTTGGATGACAAAACAAATGTAGGACAAGATATTGTCCTTTCCTTGAGAATACACCTTTCCTCCCTCCCTCCCATCCCATTTTTCATTCCCCTAACCAAATACACATAGGGCATGTTTGTTTGGGTGGACATGGCCTTAGGATTAGATTAATAACCCAATAAAATGTGTAATCCGATGATTGGCTAAGAAAATTGTAGTTTGGGCTAATAGTCCCTTTGGACACAGTATACCCCATATTGGGACTATTGAATCCCATGAGGGGGGTGGCTTACAACATGGAGGACTAAGGAGACATTCAGACTAGTTAGTCAAAATTGCAAAACTCATAGGATGTTGTTAATCCCTTCTCATAATCTTGAGTTAATCCAAACATGAGATATAATACACAATCGGAAGGGAGTGCGGAGTCGGTCTTCTGTTAAGAGCTGCATAAGGTGTGAGAAGATTGAGCCCCGTGTAAACCTCTGCTTATTTTGGATGATAAGTTTTCTTTCTGTCATAGATTTACTGATCAATGGACAGGAAAAAAACTTTGTTATGTGTTTTAATTCGTTTCTTTATTTGTTCTTTTTAAAATGTTCTTTTTCCTTTGCTTGTTTGTATTGCATGATGTTTTCTGGATGGTAGTTGTAAATGTTTCCTAACATTGAAAGCTCTGAATTTATTTATTTATTAATTTTTTATTTTTTGCAGTGAAGGCTTGTGAAAATAACCCATTAGTTTATCTTAGTTACTTTTTTCCTAATTTGTAAGTCTGTTTAATCTGCTGAATTTTTAGGATTGTACTGAACAAATTCAGTCACTGCTAAAATTTGTTACTGCTTCATTTTGGTCATTGTTGTCTCGAAACTCATTAAAGATAACAAGTCATTCTGTTGTGCAGAAATATAACACGAGGTGGGTTAACACGCAGTACCCAATGACAAGAACTCCAATTGCAGCAGTAAGAGTAATTTGGAATAGGCCTTCTCTTGGGTCTTTTTATCTTCTTGTTTCCCCCTATTTTCCCCATCTGTGGTTGATTACAATGTTGTAACTAGCGTGCCAGTGGTCCCGCATCCACTGAGTTTGACAAGAAGTGAAAATTCAACTTGGGAAGAGAACTGGTGGAAGATGTTGGTATGCTTCTTCTGAGTTGGACTGTTATCCTTCTGGTTAGAAGTCGTCAAGATAGAAAATGGAGGATATTGAAGTTGAGCTAACCTTATGTTAGATTTATTTTGAGTGGGCAGTAATTGTGTGGTTGTATAGGTAGCTTGTTGGCATTTCCTTACGTGGTCTGCTGCTTTTTCCCCCCTCTCGTATGCAGCCTATATTTGTAATCTGCAGCTAGTGTGAGTGTCATCGGTAAAGGTTTGTCAATATTCTTGTAATATCTGATAAAAATCAGAGTTTCCATGATTACGTCCCTTTTTCATCTATAGTTACTCGGCTTTTTCTTTGTGCACGAATGCTTGTGAATTGTTATTTGTCGGAAATATGCTTTTAAGACTGTTTCTCCATTTTAGTAACTCTTGCTTATTTGGTGGATGGAAGCGATTTTCATAATTTATCCACTAATAGGTCTGCCTGGAAGTTGTCATTGTATACTCCCGTGGGTTGGAAAGTAGGATTTGGGCATGAAGAGAGCGAATAAGGCCACGGGGAACGGTTTGGGTGGGTGATTTTTCTCTGAACCACTTGTTGCTATGGCAAGTTAATGGCCATTGAAATGGGTCATTATGTGGATTGCTGAAATTAATATGCAGTTTAGAGGGCTTAAACTTGTGGTAACTTGTGATAAGTTGGTTGCATTGATGGCAGTTTTAGTGCTTGGCCTTTGTTAGGTCAAGATATCCCTTTCTATGCCACTTTGGCTTTGCCATTTATGTCAGATACAGATAGGGTGGCAAATTGGGGAAATTATGGCTGCTCTCCAGTCCGTCATCGGACTAGACGGATCTGTTGGGCCGTGGTGGGCTCTAATCCGGGCTCATTTCAATGATCCAAACCATTTAATTTGTAGAGCTTGTTGAATGTATCATCCTTGTAAAACATCACGTTAATTGGATATCGTTAGCTACTTGATCAGATCACTTTTCTGTTAACGGCAAGTATGATTTTCAAAATAAATTGTGACAATGATCAAGTGGCTATCGATATCCGATCAACGTAATCTTTTACAGGGGTGATATACTCGACAAACTTTAAATATTAAACGGTTTAGATAATTGAAATAAGATTGGGTTAGGGCCTAATACGGCCCAATAGGACCATCCAGTTTTGCTTTCAAACTGCCCTTGCCAAAATTTGATACTCTTTTACGTGGGGGTGAGCAAAAAATTGTAAACTGATCTGATCTAGATCGAATTGAATGGTTTGATTTTCTCTATGCACGGTTTGGTCTAAGTTCTTAAAATAGACGAATCGTATTTAATGGTTTGGTTCATGGTTTTATAGCTACAGAACCGTATGGAACTTAATCATACTGTTATATATACACATATATATATATATATATATATATTAAGTGTGTTTTTGCATAATAGTAGTAGAGCTAGTTTTGAACAATTATCTAAATCATTATTTTTTATAAAATAATAATGACGTATTGCTTGATATTTGAGTAGGTTGTAGGTTGTAAGTTATTTTGTGATCATATTGTAAAATGATGACAAGATTTCTAAAATTGGTGGTTTCAAACTAAAGTATTTTACTAGTTCGGTTTGATTTGGTTCTAAAATTTTCGTAGTTTGATTTGGTTTGGTATTTTACTATGAGCAATGATTTGGTCTTAGTTTACTCTTAAACCGACTCAAATTGAACCATGCCCACTCCTACTCTTAAGTTATTTAGGTTGTGTTTAGATCATTGTTTTGGGTAAAGATTTGAAAATGGAAAGTGAAGACGCAAATGAAATGTAATTATATTTTATTCATATTTTATTTATTTATTTTTTCTTTTTTTAAATTTTTGTTCAAATTTATGATCTAAACACATCTTTAGGCCTCGTTTGGGAAGTAACCGGTTTAGCTAAAAAGTCAAAAAGTCAACAACCTATACCAAAAAGTTAAAGATTTTTTTTTCTCTTTACTTTTTTGCACATCTCTTCGTAAAAAGTCAAAAAATCATTTCAAACATACTAATTTTTTTTTACATCATATTTTAGTCAAAAAATCAAAAAATTACTAAAAAGCCTGTTTCCAAATGAGGCCTTATGAAACATGGGTGAGCACATGCGACACGAATACATTGGCATGGCAATATTTAAAACATAAGACACTACACATAAAAGATATGTACAATAAAATGGGACTCAATTCAATGGTTTTCAATATGTAATTGCAGAATTTGACATCAGATTCTTTCCTCTTCTAAATCTATTTTTAAATGGGCTTTGATTTCTATCAGTGTCGAAGATCGCTATTGAAAAAATAACATTTTGCTACCATATAATTTGCAACCACTTGATTAGCAGTTACAAATAGTCAATTTATTCCTTATTTTCTTTTATTTATTTTATCCTTTGCCTTATATTTGCCCTAGCCTCTTCACAAATACTGATCGTTCTCTCTCTCTCTCTCCTTGATGTTTTTCTAGTAATAGATGTAACGGACCTGAGTCCTTTTCAGGAATGTTTGTGCAAATTTTTATAAGTTTAAAATTAATAATTAACAGTAGAAACTAAAAATATTTATATGCTTGTTTTTCAATAGTCAATTTATTTAAATTACTTTTGTCATAAACAGTATGTAGTTGGACCAAATACTTTGGGTCTGCTATTTTTCAATAAGAAGCACATAATGCAAAAAATATGTATAATTTTAATATATTTTTTTACACGTTTAATATACTTTTTATACATTTAACAATACTAATAACAATCTTAAAGATTGTTTTTAATATTTTTTTATAAAAAAAAATAGTTAATAAGCTGTACCAAATTACTCTAAAGATTGGAACAAATATGCTTCATCTAAATGAGATCCCAAAAGAGGCTCAAACGGAGAGAACCATAGGTAAGTAGACAGGGGTCGGACCAAGGTTCCTCCTGCCCGCACGTCGATTCTAACGTTTCTCAAAGCTGCTCAAGAAGAGCTTACTCATGAGCAAACAAAAAGTGTGAGCGCTCCAACAATAGGATTGACTTCTTTTATTGGAATTGGAACTGAAACTGAAGCTCTTCTCTTTCAGATACTCATTATTCAACTGAAACTTGAATTACTGGATTTCCAAAAATAACTCATGTGTCTCCTTCTCCTCCGTATGCTACTGTACTCAGTAATATGAACAAATATAAGAAGAGTTTTAAAAGGACCAACCCACCATAGCAAATTCAAACAAATGGTTTAAACAAATTTTCGGACACTGCTACTAGGATCATAAATTCAAGGATAAATTATGCAAATAGTCCTATAGTTTACACGATGTGTCAATTTAGGCCCTATTATTTTAATTTGCTCAATTTTATCCCTTAATTTAACGGATTGTGTCATATTGGCTCAACAAATAACGGCTGTCAGGTTTGGTGAACAGAAAGTCGTCATGTGCTCAAACGATATGTCAATTTAGTCCTTATAATTTACACGATGGGTCAATTTGATCCATATTGTTTTAATTGGCTCAAGTTTGACAAGGACCAAATTGATACATTGTATAAACTATAGGGACCAAATTGAAACATCGTTTGAGTTTTTGTCTACCAAACCTAATAACCGTTATTTATTGGACTAATATGACACAATCCGTTAAATTAAGAAGTAAAATTGAACTAATTAAAGTAATAGAGACCAAATTGACACATCGTGCAAATTACAGTGACCATTTTCATAATTTAGCCTAAATTCAATTTTGAAACTTTTGAGGCAATAGTCCTAAGTTCTAATCTTTTGAGGTCAAAATGACAATAACAATTTAAAATATCATATTTCCCTTATGTATCCACTACTTGTTCATTGTTTTACCTATTTGTTCACGTCACCTACTTATTCATGTGTCTCCTATTTGTTCATCTATCTATTTAGTGTTACTTATCTATCCACATTTATCCATTTATTTATCCATGTGTCACTTATATGTCCATATCACTACTACTACTACTACTACTACCATGTATTGCCGGCAACTTCCAACGACTTTTTTGGCGACAACTTTTTCAGCGCTAGTGATTTGACGGCAGTTTAACAATAGTAGGTAAAATAGAAAAAAAAATTATCCTTTAAAGCAATAGTTTGGTATTCTCACTAAACAATTTAATTAATCATTTCCATACAACCAAAATAAACAAATTTTGGACCTAATGTCATACACACCCCTCAAAATGGATTTCTCACCAATTTTTTCTAAATTTTTCATATAAAATAATATAAAGGAAATTAAAAGGAAAATAAAAAAAACTTAGGATTTGGCACTAATAACAAGGGGGCTAGGCATAGGGTTATCCGAACCGCATAACTTATCCAACCCGAACCGATCCGCATACAAATGGGTAGTTTCGCAGACACAATACAGACGGATACGGTTTGAGATATGGTATGATTGGGTGTTGTGGACAGATTGCGGGTTTAACCCGCACCAGGAAGAATTTGCCTGCACTTAAGACTTTTTTAATTTTTAATTTTTTTAAAACCTAGACCGTTGTTATTTTATTATTACATTTTGAATAAATGTAAAAACTAATAAAGAATTACTTTTAAGTAAGTTTAGGATTTTAAATTATTTTACTTTAATTATTTTTTTGGATAGTAGATAGTGCATGAAATTGATGATCTAGTTTAAGATTTTGAAAGATGTGCTTGTGTTAGTTTATAATTTGATTTAAAAGTTTAATTCTGAACGATTTGTTTGTGTTAGAATTGATTTTATTGTGTTTTTAATTCTATAAGTTTTAATTCATTTATTATTAATGTTGGAGCATTTTAAAAAATGGAAGGAAAATGGTTCAAAATAAATATATACAAAATGAAAAAAAAAAAAAGGGCTCCAAAATAATATTTTTTAAAAAAGTCCAATCCGCAAATTGCCTGCAACTGCCCACACATACTCGAACCCTATCTGCACAAACCGCAACCCGTATTGTGGATGGTTGCTGGTTAAATTTTTCTCAAACCGCATACATATGGACGGGTCCATACCGATTCACAAATTATTCAAAACCAAACTGCGACAACCCCTACTAATAACAAATAAAGCTCCGAGGTTTTAATTTCTTCACATTAAACCTTAGTCAAAACAAACATCAGGGGGATAATTTCGTAAATCCAAATATCTTTCTCTCGATATCCTCATCTTCTCAATCTCTCCATTTGTAAGATCAATCCAGTCCAACGCCTTCCCAACATATCATCCCCACAATGGTGGCTTAATCATTCAGCGAAGTCCGTCGCCTAGGGCCTCGCATTAGGAAAGACCCTATAACTTAACAACTCATGTGCTTAAATTGATGGATGAAGTATCAATAAATTTTAAATAGTGATTTTATGAATTATTTGATTTTTTTTTTTTGTTTTTTTAGACTCAAAAG